AGTCTGCTATTATGGGCCAACATTTACCACCAATGACGTCATCGCGACTCCGATGTGACAGCTCGCCGCTGCTCCTGCTCATCGTGCGGATATGGCGCACGCCCGCCTGTCTGGCCCCGTTGCGCTACAACCGCGCTGATTTCGTAGAGATCCGTCCATCCATCCGCGCTCCGGCACATTGCCGTGCGTGTCATGGATATAATTAAGGGCCTTACGATGCTCTCAGCGCGAACACGGCATACTATCTGCGTCGCCGTGCGTGGCACGTATGGCCGTCGGTAGGTCCATTTGGGGAAAGCTCAATCGAGTTTGGTTCGGTGCAGGTATTCCCCACGGAGATGTGGCCAGCACACGTGCAGGTGATGAGCAGACGACGACAAAGAAAATGGGAGTACGGTGGAGAGATCCGCCGAGGCGGACCAGGAAACATAGCGGTGGATGTCACAATCAGAAGACGGATGGAATGGAGACTAACAGGCGATCTGTTCAAGCATGTTTTCAGAGTACCCGATCACCAGCAGTACGTACGCCATTTCTTTTCGGATATACTCTAATAGTTCGTGTCCTGTCTTCGGCTCATTCCTATCTACTCCTCACGCACTTCCTTAGTTAAACGCTGCACATCAGGAAAGCAAGCCCGCGGGCCTCAAATTTGCAGCATCAAAGCCTTAACGGTGCCTGGACTGACTCCCATCAAGCCTCATTTACATCGCATCTGGTCTCCAGCAGCCGTGACCAGGAGTTTAGCGCCTGGTCGCTGCAGCTGGACATGCAATAAACCCCGCTCGGCCTCACGCCGTTACCTAAGCGAAGTGTTGAATAACTACTATTTTTTTTTTAAAGTAGCAGCATGCTTGGAGTAATGTCCTACAGCCTAATGTTTTGCCAACACTCGGAAACGTAGTGCTTCTCTAACGGACTTTGTAAATGGCTTGCCAATTCCGATGTTGCTATTCCCTTTCACTGCCTCACTCCTGACACGCTACACTTTTTGATAGATATTTTAATGCTGACGAGCGTTTGGGAGTAAAGTGTGCCATTAGCGCGCATAAGAAGGCATTTCTGCTTGTCCACATTATGACCTGCCTTTGAAGCCTTGATCGCCTTCACCAGCATGTTCATGTTCATGAAGTTTTTCTGCCCTTTCCACATAATTATTCGCTTTTGAAGCCTTGATCACCGGTTGTGTACTGGTGTATTTCTGCTCTTTCCACATAATACTTTGCTTTTGAAGTCTTGCTCACCGGCTGTATGCTGGTGACATGCAGTCTTTGACGCAGTTTTCAGATCTACACGATTTCCTGGCATCGCACGCCAGGGCTTTGTTTACTCTTTTACAATGTTTATTGACGCTTCTCCCCAGGATATAGTCCCGTGAGTGATTGCCCGCCCAACACCTACAAACTATGACGTCTTCTAATCCCGTGACTGGTATATCGGTGCAATCATAACATCCCGCCCCGCACCCCTGGCCCCCAATTCATATTTCAAGTTCGAAGAGGCCACCTTTGGGAATGAAATGCAGAGTTCAAATTCATACAAATGCAATCCATGCGCTTCGGGAAATGCAGGCTCAAGATCAAAATTTGAAAAAGTTAGGGGGATGGGTAAGACAAAAGCGCCTCAGAAAGTACAGCAAGGAGCTAGGCAGGAGCATACGCTGCTTCTTTTATCCAATATCTTATGACATACAACTAGATTGACAGACGAGTGTTTGCCAGCCGTCCTTTCGAACATCTCTGTCACGCCTTTTCCGTCAGATGCAACACTTGCGTCACGTACCGGCAGACTCTACAGCAGCTTACTGAAGCCAGTAATGACAGAACCATGCCAAAACAGATAGCGGTGGCCACATCTCGCCGCAATGTTCCATAACATCTTTACATCGTACCATTCTCCATCCTTTTCAGATCACGCACGTAAGTATCAGAAATCACGTATCCCGCCAGGGGTGAGGGAATCCGGCAGAGAGCACCGGAGGTGGGGGTGGGGTGCAGGACCTCCGGGCGGACCGCCAGGGGCGGCCGTCGTCGGACGGCAGGCCGACAGCCACGCTCGAACGACGGGACACCACGCCAGCCAACAACAACACCGTCCCTCATCGAGCCGGGCCGAAGGCGGGTCGTTTGCTCGCTGGGCGGCGGCGCGGCGGGCATGACGATGGCTTTGTAATCGCCGCCGGATGTCCCCGGCGGTGAGCTCCGTTGGGGCGGGCGTCATTATGACCTCAGCCTGTGCGGTCACCACTCGGTGCGGTGGTGCGGTCTCACCGCCAAGGTCTGCAGGTGTTCAAATCGTAAGGATTCAACTGAGCTTGGAGCGAGCTTTATTAATTTGGAACGTTTTGGATGACCATTTATAAGGCATGCTGCGCCCATTTCATCGTGGATAAATACTGTCTTCTTGGAAAGACACGTTATATGTCTACTCGAAATGGGCCTCTATTCTATTTTCAGTTCGGTGCCGCTCTTTCTTGGCAATGGGCGTCGTGTAAGCCATCACTTATGTGGTGGCACTGCTAGGAATAACACAATAACAACAACGGAACGAGAGCGACAGCTGTTCACTTTCAGCACACAAATCAATACTGTTTCACGCAAAGTTTATTCTTACGCCAAAACAAAGCCATCGCAGATCTGCGACCATATGACTGCTTATGCTAATCTCCACATATTGTCCTTTCCCGTTTCGGGGAAATCACCCTTCATCACCAGCCTAGCTTTTTGGAAGAAGACAATTGATGCCATTTTCAGGAGATTCTCCAGATTGGAAAGCAAAGCTGCGACCATAATAAAGGCAGCGACGAGGTTTTAAAGCTTTTCAATGTTATTACACTTAGCTCCTAACGAGCCCAAGTAACCTGTAATGCGGGCAAAGTGTAGCTGGCATGAAAGGTGTTAGTGGTCTTCATGTAGCTGATACTAAAACATTGGCTGATGGGACACGACATTTGGAAATCCATACAAATGGCCTTACTCATTACGCAATGGGTCTAAAAATATATCTTTCATGAGTGTTAACGGGACAGAGGCTCATTCAATTCGCGTTCGCGTGGCACTGAAAAAAAGAGCCGGCTTGACAATCAGCCAGCTATGAGTTTGGCCACCCGCGGGCGCGGTTAATAAACTCGATGATCTTGTAAAAATTAGCGCTTCCGACAAATGTGAGCCAGGCAGAGCAAAACCAAAAAAACAAAACAAAAAGAATAAAAAACATTTTAGATAGATGCTAGAACTCACCGAAAATGTCTCTATCCTGGCAGTTGCGTGGCCCGCGCCCGAGAGCCATTGACCGCCTGAACACGTTGACCAACATTTATCAATGCGATTGTTCATTCTGCCCCCAGCCAAACGATTTTGTTTCCTGTTCCCGCGACCCTCGGTCATGAAAATCTGGCCCATTTTTAACTTATCCTGAGCAACGTTTTGCAACAAGAAATTTTGCACTTTTTCAAACTATTTCAATAAGGAAGACCACACTTTGTTCGTGTTGCCATAACGCAAAGCAATTTCGCATGATCAGATATGTTGTACTCAAATGTCCTGCAATACACGTGGCAAAAATGTCAGAAATGGTTTTATTTAAGTTCTCCAATCTGCGTCTAATGCCGATTGATAACGTACTTAAACTAGTGTCGCCTGGTTGCTGATTGAGGGTCAATAACATCAGCATAAAAACTATGACCTCATTTTGCCGAAAAAGTAGCAGCTAAGCGCCTCTCCTGCTCATTAAGCATCTCTTAAAGTAAAAATAGGCATAAAATTATCCCTTTGAACCTCAACAATGCTTTTGTCATCGCATAACCAAACAATTATTTTCGTCTTTCTCATCAGGGACACAACTGCACAATAAGCTATGTTCCCACAGTGTAGGACCAGCTACATCAGGAAACTACATCTCGATTGACGTGGGTTTTTAGCCCCGGACGCACCTCAATTACATCATCACAAGCCTCTTGCAGCCGCCTGAGTATACTGACGTTTGTTTGCTCGTAGTCACTTAGCTGACGGCGTGTTTTGACTGACGCTGTCCTGGCCGTTGCAGAAATACAACGGGTTCAGGCGGATATCAGAACGGCGGGACGGCCTGAGGTCAGATACAGTGACGTCACGAAGGAGAAGCCCATTCGGCTTATGGCCAGGGTGCTTGTCCCCGTCAAAGATCATCCCAAGGTATGTGGCCCCCAAGCAGAGGGCATTAGTTACCAAGCGAAAAGAAAGATGGTGTGCCTACATAAATACAAAGTACGTTTTGACACTAGCATTGTGCTATGAATGCCACTATGATCATTCTAAGTGAATGTCATGTTTTCTATGTTCCTGCAGGAGTTCTGCATGGCAAAAATTTTCAACGCTTTGTCGATCAATGACCTGACAACCAGCAACTGCATGCATGCAGTCATGGTACATTTGTGCTTACTGGACCGGTCCGATATATATGTCACTTCACCTGGTTGAAGGCGAGAATAGAACAGCTGAACGACACCACATCGTCACAGTTAAAGTAATGGGCAGTTGCCTTATTTAAGTCACAAATTTTGGGTCCAATACCTGCCGGTCCAAGGGTATAGTGGACGGAACAAGCTCAACATTTGGGCTCAATTCTCTGTGTTAGAGGAAGTCCTTCCTCGAGAACAAAAGAAGGCGCTAGGACCGAACGGTCACGTCAGTTTTTCGCGGGTCGCGTTTGTTCTCCAGAACTGTTTGGATAATAAGATGGAGCAGGCATATCCCCCAGTTTGGATCATTAGGGTGATGAGGTCGGCGCCCATACAACAAGCTGCGCTTGGCAGGCATATGCCACTCGACGTGCACCGAGTCCTGCTGACAACGCATTGCGACGCATCCCGGGCGATCTACATATGGAGTAGCTTACTGATCGTAAACCTCCCAACAATTCGCCAACATATTCGAAACTGTGGTCGAAGACTCCAGTGGTTACTTAGGGCGGTTGGACACGACATAGCGCCCCATTACAGTCGATCTTGGCCGTAAAGGATACCAAACCACCACGCTGCAAATCGCGCTTAATGTCGGCCATGGAACATTAGTTGATGTCAAGAGAACCACCACACCACGGGAATGCCAGGCTGCTGCCGCATGCAAAGGTCAACTTACATCGATCGTCAATGTGGCGGTTGCAAAAGCAGCATGTCAGGTACGCCCGACTCTCTTCACCAGCCCTGGCTGTCGCAACAGGGAGGTGACACCGAGACTCGCGCTGAATTAGGACAAAAACAGATCGGGCTTTTCACACACTGCGAGGTCTTCAGTCCTGGCAATGTTAGACCTTTAAGCCAATTATGTTTTTCCTAAGGCCTGCCTGACCAGCATGTGGCTCATCAAAGTATTTCTTATGCTCACGCAGTGCGTCCTTGGTTTGGGTTTTGTTAGCAATTCTGTCAGTAGAATTACACCCTTTCTGACCCAAGGTGTCTTCTGACACCCTTTCTGACCCTTTCTGACCCAAGTGATCTCTGCTTTATATTCATGACAGAAGGCATGACCGAGAGGCATAAATACCACGCTTAAGAGACTTAACTTTCCGCATCCGTCCGATAGATTTGACAGTAGTTGGATGCCGTTTGTTCTCCTCTAGTTATCATCCTTACACCAAACTTACGCATCGTGCGCGCACGCAGCATCAGACCTATGCAACCAGGCTGTCCACACACCTTCATCTTTCGGAATCATTTTCCAGAAGTTTAAAGTCCTGTTTTGCCACGCGTGAAGCCATGCGGGCTTGCATGTAGACGGACGTCCGTGCAGCCATTTATGCTGTGCGTTTGAAGCACGCGAACACATATAAACAGGCAGAGAGAGTTGTTTACATGTGTGTGTAGAACGCCACTGACTTTGACTCTTGCATGTTAACAGCCTTATGACACAACCTTAAAATAATTGGCATAACAAAGCCTTTACGGTAAAAATTATCCAGAGATATCCATGTACAGAACGTGGGTGAGAATGGAATAGCGTGCTGCGTCCAAACTAGCAACACCCTAGTCGTTATTCTGATATGGCCCTGACATTGATCTATAGAGGAAGCATATAACTGGTTTCTATTCACGTACGTTGTTCAGGGCATTAGTGATGAGCATTATTCACATAGATAAGACAGAAGCAGTATACTTATTTCCCAGAGAAAAACGAGGAGAATGGAGATATAGTTGGGCCGATATTTCGGCAACATGCCATTATTGAAACAATAGCAGAAGTGGCTATGCGTGTCCACGTGCTTCAAACCCTTCTGCTATTGTTTCGATAAAGGCATGTTGCCGAAATATTAACCCAACGATACCTCCTGGTGTCCAACCATATCTCCTGGTGCCCGGATTTGGACCCAGAGCTTAAGCTGCATGAAGTAACTTTAAAAAACCGAGCAAGGTTTACAGACTGTCTGTTCACTACATGTATCATCAAAACAATATTAAAAATAATCATTCGTACTGGATGATGGTTTCGGTACATGGACTGCGCACTCAGACCTGCCGACCGTTGCAGTTCAATTTCGTGGGGAAGCTGCTGGGTCCGAAGGGAAACTCCCTGAAGCGTCTGCAGGAGGAGACGCTGACCCGCATGGCCATCCTGGGCCGCGGCTCCATGAGGGACAAGGTCAAGGTGAGATTGATGGTCCTCCTGTTTACGCTTTAGTTGAAAGTGTGCAATTACGTGAGACCTGCAGTTTTGTGGCTGCCATTGGTTTTGAAAGGTAAACACTGACGGATCGGCATTGCATTCGCTTTGATCACAACAAGCTTCACAAGTACAGATCAGGTTTTCTCGCCGAAAAGGTGTAACTACACCAGCAATGCTAGGAAGAAAGTCAGGACCAGATAAGCCTCGTCTCCACGCTTTTGATAATATTTTACATTAACCCAATGACAATGCATGATATTAATAGATTTGGTATTATACTTGCCCCCCCCCGCACTTTCTAAAAGTGTCTGAACCATCCAGGTAGAGCCGCAACACAGAAATCAGCATGTAACTCTGCATTGAATGCATTCAATGATGCCCTGTTTGACCCTTGAAGGCAGCCGACCAATTACTCTCCGGGTCATGAATATGTATCTAGATTTGTGAGGGCAGAATACAACAGAAAACAATGGTAGCTTTTCGGAACATAGACCGTCACTTTGTCACACGGCACGGCACTTTGTCAGACAAAAATGCCAAATATATTTTTTTTACTCGACTCCGTACGAAAGGGGATCTAAGGCAGCCTTACTGTCAAACGATGTCATATTTCACTGACGTTTTTTGGCCTTCGAAAATTCATTGATCCACTCAGCGTGACGTGTGTGACTTCAGGCCTTTACTGTCTTTGGTCGAAAGGCTCAGCTCCCTGGCCGTATCCAGCAAAAGCCGTCATTTAGCATAAATGTTTACACACGCACACACACACACACACACACACACACACACACACACACACACACAGAGGTATATATACATATATATATATATATATATATATACATATATATATACATATATATATATATATATATATATATATATATATATATATATATATGCGTATAGCGTAGATAGATAGATGCGATGTAACATAGAGCCACCCGTTACATTCTTATATACAGCAGCAAACAGGTCAGCTGATCGGTTATAGGTAAGCTGCGTAACATAATCTGGGAGCTTGATATGATAGTTAATACATCATAAACAACGACAGACTTTAGGGTGCACCTGAATATCGTTTTACGTGGACTTGGAGACTCCTCCCTTGCCAGGCAAGGTCTAACCTAATCAATCGTGTAGTTTAACCATGCTGGGGTGACCTAGCAATGATGGATGAGTAATTAATTAACACCCACGGCACTCAGCATAAGGCAGTATACCAAACCGTCAGATTGACTACGTGATGGTAATTGCGCTTACAGCTGTACGCCGAGCATTAATGTGCCAAGTTACCTTGTACTTATGATTTATCGCATACCTCACGCCCTTTGTGTTTAATTGTTACCGGGACGTGAAATAGGGCGGTCGTATGCAAATTATGGTAAAACATTTCACAGGAAGGTCACGCACGTAACTAGCATCAGTGTCCGCGGCTTTGATGGCTTTGATGAAAGGCCATGCTGGGTTTGCGCCACGGGTTTGTGGTTTTCAAACCCGTGATATTTCTCCCTCCATGCCAAACTGCCATTAAAACCCTGGCGGCCGCGACAACATGGGACGGATGCTAAAATAAGCAGCCGTGTGCGGCTCGCGGCAGCTGATCGATGCTGTCGTCTGGTCGTAGGGAAGTTTAGCAAAGCGATTGGAGACAGGACGTGCGGAGTACGGAGGCCCATTCCCACCAGACGATGGGCTCAACGGCATCGGCCTGACCTGAGCAATTCAGATGCTTGCGGGTTTTTCCATCAAAAGTTCAGCACGCTGTCTTTCTCTGATATTTGAAGCATTTGAACTGTTGGCACCTACATCGGGTTAAGGAGCGGCGTCTCAACGAACGGGATTCTGAAGGAAGGAACTGCGCTCTTGTCAGAAAGATCTACCCTGAGAAGTAATTGCTTCCATGTTTTTTTCCAAAAAGAACATGCTTCCTTTGATGTTATTTGCGGGTTTTAAAATCACCTCAGCCCACCAAACAGTGCGGGAGTCCGGGGGTGAACGTTACCAAATATGCCGGGAACAGGAGTTTTGCCTTCTTTATTTTCATGCTGCGCCATGCGCCCAATGCCAGTGCTCTGAAATATTTTATTTGCACTTGCATCGCCAGCTAACAATATAGCTCCGGCCATGCTTAGCTGAGCGTCATAAGACAGCACGCACTGTCGACAGACACATGAGTCATTACCTCAGCTTCCAGCTAACGCCACCACCCGCTCTCCCCCGGGGCCAGGAGGAGGAGCTGCGTGTGTCCGGGGGTCCGCGGGCTGCCCACCTGCTGGAGGATCTGCACGTGGAGATCGTGGCGTTCGCCGCTCCCGCCGAGGCGTACGCCAGGGTGTCGTACGCACTGGCTCTGCTTCGCCGGTACCTCATCCCCGACAACAACGACCAGGTGCGTGTGTGACAGACGATGGCCTGGCTGGCGCGACGGACAGAAATAAATGATGATGCGCGAGGGAGGGAAATATGCAAGGAGATAAAAGGAGGAAGAGATAATATAGCCCAACAACAAAATGCCATCGATGATGGTCATTGACAGCAAGAGTGAAATGCCAAGGAAGGTCAATAATTTTAGGCATAAGAGCTTCAAACTCATGATGCTGTAAAGCCAGAATACGAAAACTTTCTTCCTTACATTTTTTAAAGATTTGATCAAAAATTCTGATTGGATGGTTTCTGAGATCAGAGCTGACGTAAAGCAATGCGTGTTGTGTAAGGCCTGATCTCTACCAGGATCGCGCAATTACAGGTCAGAGGTAGAATTTAGTGACGAAAGTTTGACGTGCCGCAACGCTCGACGCAGTCCGTCCTGCCCTTTGCCGTCACTTGGCCTTTAGTGCGGGCGCTGCCACCGATTATAGGCCATACCTGTCACAAGACAACAGCGAGCGTCTAAAGCAACTCGAGCCCATCGCGCCACGGGAGGACAGGTCGGCTGGCAGGTACTCAGACCAGCTGAGCTATCGTGGCGGCAGAAAAGACGGACGGACACATCAAGTATACATTTTTTATAACTGAACAATTTATGTTGATGAATGAAGTAAGCCCTGCACGACAAAAAAAGTTGTTAGGCGTAATTATTTTGATAAAAATCACGACCTAACGTTACACAAATTACCGTGGACACCGATCAGTCAGTCTAGCAGGCAGAAATGATCAAGTTGTTCTTACAACAGGTAGGCAATGCACCCTTGCAGATCACAATCATATCATCGTGGCATGCGCCAGAGAACAGTGTAGTCTACTGGCCGATGGTGCACTAGTTATTGGAGCTGACGGCACTGCACAATGATGATCTTTTCTCGTACCAAATAATGCCCTTGCAGCCAGTGCCATGCAAATGTTCCACAACGTGTCTGCTAGTCCTTGCATGCTTTGCTTCACATGTCTACCCATGTGCTGTAAAGCAAGGCAAGGTACCGTATTAGTAAAGCAGACACTGCATAACGGACGATGGAAACACATGACGAATGTCGCAGAGAAAACTGGAGCTACTGCAGGCGTGCCATTTATGCCAGGAGCTGACACGCCACGGCTGGGCCCACCAGATCCGGCAGGAGCAGATGCGTGAGATGAAGCACCTCGGGCTGAGGGAGGACCGGTCGGAGGTCAGCCCAGCACCGGTCCCCGCCGCGGAGGTCAGGCGGACATCTGTCGATCTGATCGAAGGGGCCGGCAGCGGCTCTTCCGACTTAGAGGGCACCATGGGGCTCACTGAAGACGACTGCAAGGTGGGTCATGTTTGAATATGATGTGTTTGGGGCTGTACTGACGATAGTATTGTCGGCACAGATGCTTAAATACTGCGATTGTGCCACACGAAAAGCGGCCGATTATTCCCTACAACATTTTTTTTTTGATCGATACACATCCGCGATCTGTTATGGAGCGCCGCTTTGTCTGCTATTTATAAGCATCCAATGCGAGGTGACGGTGGTCAAGGAACCGGATACGCATTGCAAATTCCAATCACACAGTCCTTATTGCTCCTTGCACCGCCATACCTGTTTTCAGTGGGGGCTCTCCCGCCACTCCACAATTCCCCACATTTTTCTCGCCAGGACCTTGACCCCGTGGATCTGCGCTGCTACACTTGCAGAGCATTTCGCGTCAGGAGATTCGACGCTGATTCACTCTCCTCGCACCTCAGAGCTCAGAGGGGTCGGACGGCTCCGTGCCGTCGCAGGGCCTGGCCCCACACTCTCCCAGACGGAGCCAGACGAGCCGCGTGCTCAACATACTGGACCGCGCCCGGCTCCTCAACAGCAGGACACCGGCTCTGATCAAAACCAGCGACGACGCCAGCACCGCCAAACGGTCGGTGCCACCGACGGGAGCGCGCGCCCCATATGCAATGCTAATGTATTCCTTTCGTGCAACACGAATTTGGTACCACGCGGAAGCGTCTCAAAATCTTGCATGTAGCGTGAAGCATTTATATTAATGATATACGGAAAGCAGCAGGGGGCCGTTAAGCCCAACCCAGAAACGCTCACCCATGCATACCAAAGTCACGTGAAAGGTCACGCATGGCGCAGCTCTGATCCCTCCCGCCATCTGTATGGATTGCGTAAAGGTCCGCGGACGTGCGTGCCAGTGCGTGGGTGAGGAGCCGTGCGTGAATGCGTACGTGCGCGTCCATTCTGGATGTCGCTTTGCGCTTGCGTATGAATGTGTATGCGTGCATGGTAGTGTGCAAGTTTAGCGCCTTCATGATTTTGTCACGTCACTGCTGTGAGTCATGTTTTCCTGGTTGCTCAAATGGTTCCCAATTAAAACCTGACCATTACAACATTATTTTTCCCTCTAATCCAGCTTTCTGCCCGCAGCTTTTCTGTCGATGGCTCCAGTGACTTCCAGCAAGTTATTTTCGCTGCGGAAGGTACAGACCTCCCTAGGGATTCCATCTTTACAAATGCAATTGTTTTATTCAAAGCCAGGTCATAACTTTGAAAATGATCTGAGAACTGGGATCAAAGCTCCCCATGTTTATTCCAATTTTTGGCATCCATAAAACAACTCACCACTGCTCGTGGCGGTTGATGCCAGCGCCAGATGATGGCGCATTTCTGGTCGTTACTCCGTTCCGCGCATACCGACTCCCATGGGACTACCTCGCGGCTCTGTAGGGCGCCCTTGTGGTGGCAGGTTGTTATCTCCAACATCCATTGAGGAGCTCCCGGGGAGACGGTGTTACGATGGGGGGCAGATATTCGTGCTCAGTGTTGCCTGGGCTCACGAGTGGACAACCGGAATCGACGGTAGCATGGGCAGAGGACAATCGCCCCTGTCGCTTGGCAAACGTAATGTGTCGAATAGGGCGGGTAACACGTGAAAAAGCTGGTAGGATGAGTTTTATAATGTTGTATAAATATGACGTCTAAAAAAGTATGTAGCTTGCCATTTTCATCGATGTTCGCAGTGTTTTTTGACGAGTGTAGTGCTTTATAGTCATAACACCCTCGCCAATTTGACCGTTTCGGTCGCTCGGTTGATGGATGACCTCGTTCCAAGCCTTATGCTTGCTGTGCTGACTGTTGATCGTGGCTAAAAGGTACTGATTCCACTGGTGTTCCAAACGGCCGTGCCGGGCTCCGCCACCGCCGGTGACGCTGACCCTGGCTGTGTTGTCCAGGTGGCGGCGCCGTCCGGTGGCTAGGGCTGGGTTCTCCCCTGACACGGACGCGGCTTCGTCCAGCGCCCTACCTTCTGCCCAAGTGACCGGCCAGCACACCACGCAACTCCCGCTCGAGTCCCACATCTGCTGTCTGGGCGGGCCCCGCCGGCTACCTTCAGGCCAGGTGACCGGTCGACATCACGTGTACTTCGTGCCCGAGTGACGGGTCACCGGTCACTCGGGCAGATCTGGCCGGCCACCCAGCCCAGGTGACCGCTAACAGGTCCCCCCGCACTGGTGACGAGTGACCGGTCTCCGGTCACCTGGGCAGATCTGGCCGGCCGCCCAGCCCAGGTGACCGCTAACAGGTCCCCCTGCACTGGTGACGAGTGACCGGTCACCGGTCACCTGGGCAGATCTGGCCGGCCACCCAGCCCAGGTGACCGCTAACAGGTCCCCCTGCACTGGTGACGAGTGACCGGTCTCCGGTCACCTGGGCAGATCTGGCCGGCCGCCCAGCCCAGGTGACCGCTAACAGGTCCCCCTGCACTGGTGACGAGTGACCGGTCACCGGTCACCTGGGCAGATCTGGCCGGCCGCCCAGCCCAGGTGACCGCTAACAGGTCCCCCTGCACTGGTGACGAGTGACCGGTCTCCACGCCCGGATGACCGGTCCCTCTGCCCCAGTGACCGGCGTCCTGCCCCGGTGACCTATCGACCATCTGGACAGGCCCGACCGGGCCGCCCCTGCTCCGGTGCCCGGTAACCAGTCCTCCAGCCCCGGTGACTTATCGGCCGTCTGGACAGACCCGACCGGGCCGCCCCTGCTCCGGTGTCAAGTGACCGGTCCCCCGGCCCCAGTGACCGGTCCTCCAGCCCGGTGACCCGTTGGTCGTCTGGACAGACCCGGCCGGGCCGCGCCTGCTCCGGTGACAAGTGACCGGTCCTCCAGCCCCGGTGACTTGCTGGCCGTCCGGACAGACCCGGCCGGGCCGCGCCTGATCCGGTGACAAGTGACCGGTCCCCCAGCCCCAGTGACCGGTCCTCCAGCCCGGTGACTTGCTGGCCGTCTGGACAGACCCGGCCGGGCCGCGCCTGCTCCGGTGCCCGGCCAGCTTCGGCTGCAGCCCGGACCGGTGTGCTCAGTTGCCGTCGGCGTTGAAATGTGTGCAACCTCAGCGCCGCCGTGGCTGGAACCCGGCGACCTCGCGGAGCCCGGCCTCAGAACCCGGCGACCTCGCGGAGCCCGGCCTCAGAACCCGGCGACCTTGCGGAGCCCGGGCTCAGAACCCGGCGCACTCGCGGAGCCCGGCCTCAGAACCCGGCGCACTCGCGGAGCCCGGGCTCAGAACCCGGCGCACTCGCGGAGCCCGGCCTCAGAACCCGGCGCACTCGCGGAGGCCCGCCGAGCCGGGATTGCCGTCAGACCAGCGCAGGTTAGATTACAGCAGGTGGTTTAAATAAGGACGAACTCATCTGAGTGCTGCGGGCGGAACTTTGATGTCGCTCGGGAATGCGGACTTTGTGTCTGATCTTGACAAGATTGTTATGAGGGTGATGGTGGTAGGGATGCACACACAACGTTGGTGCATCAGAATATCGTGTTTTCATAGGCAGCAACGCGTATGTAGACAAACTCCGCGGAAAACATCGGGAAACCACTCGTGCTGCCTGCTGAGTCCGTTTCTTCGTCTGCATGCACGGCGATATGAATTGCAAATGCTCAGAATGTTTCGTAGTGAACTTAACTAAGATTATCTCAGTACCAATCTATGAACAAGCAATACGTCCGCGCTCATGTGTAACGGGAAGGCCCAAAATCGAGTGTTGCTTTTCTAGTAAGTCGTCGTAATCTGGGTATATCTACCGCTGTGGAGGGTCGACTCCAGCGAAGCTTTGTGCGCCTCCGACTAATCTTGTGCAATTCGATGGACGCTGCTGAGCACTCGAACTCTATTTCGACAGTTTTATTGTGTATCAGAAAGCACTGTTTGGGAAAGTAGGACATCTAAAATGTTGCCCCCGGTTAGTCTTTTTTAATGATACGTTCATCGTAATATGTTTATCTTTACGTGGAGAGAAAAGCATGCCGTCTTTTTCGTCGATACGGGAACAATCAATAGTCAATTTGAACAAAGCTTCCCATTTATCTATCGCTAAATCGAGACGGTAGCAGAGCGTAAATGTCGTGCGTGTTGATGTTGATGGAAGCATGATGGGCATGCTGACAATGTATCGGCTGAATATACGACTGATAATTGTATATAGCGGTATTATGGAAATGACCTTTTGGCAGTGGAATCTTCATATGAGTCATTCATATTTCAGCGATGGGGCTCTTGGCGTGCTGTTATGTCCCGATGTGTTCTCCATCACGTAATACTTTCGGTATGCCTAATATTACAGTTCCTCTTCTTTAAGGAGTATCGTTTTGAAGAAAACGCTTACTTTTCCTTTGCATTCGTCTCCAAAGCATTTCAAAAGATCTTCAGAATACCGCGTGCTGTGTACGCCACTGGAAAGTTAAAGAAAGTCACCAGAAAGTACGTTGCTTGGGAGTGTGGTCCATCTCCTTGTCATCGTTGCCTGAGTGAGCTGGCCAGTACGGCTCGAGCTTGTCTTGAGGGAAGGCTGTACGTGCAAATATATGCCTGGTTATCAGCAGGATCTCCGCGAGATGGCGCAATAGTAAAAACCCTTATTAGCTGTCGTGAAATCACGGCGATGGTCGGATGGGTATGGATTCCGCGGATTCCGCCTCACGGCGAAGAAATGCCTCATCATATGCCTACATTGGATCGGCACGACTGCTGGGCCGTTGGTCTCGGTACGTCGACCCAACAGCGCCCCTGCCCACGGGGATGTGCACTCTCGTTCGCCAGGAGGCACCCAATGACGTACGATTGTCTTTCAGACACACACGCCGCTGTCGACACTCCCCACACCCAGGCGACAGCACCCAGCCACACTTGTGGCTGGGGTTCATGCCATGCACGTCACCTCCATTCCAGCAGGCGCAGCCAATCAGATCAAGACACACATCGGTAGAACCCAGTTATAATCTGGAGTGACAGAAAGCTCTCACCGAGAATAACCCGGAGTACGAGGGTGTGCGAGAACTCACGCGTACCAGGCGAGAAGGAACGGTGCCGCCCGAGCGCATGCTGGCCGACGGTAAGCTATTGTCCAGAGCCGTCGTTCTCACGGTTCTCATCCTCCTCCCTCGGCCACTGGTATGCGCGATTGAAAAGTTTACAAACAAAATATACCCTGAAGGGGCTCCAAGCCTAAAGTAGAAGGACTTCCGCCGCGCTGCTGAGCAATCTGGCTCTCCAGGCAGTGCAAGTGTAATTAGGAGGCCAAACCAAGGAAGTGACCAAGAAAACCAGGGCTTAATTGAATATCTTAAAAGTAAATACATAACATATGGTGCTGAAAATAAGCCATTATATATATCAGTCAGATAGGCTTGCTTCTGCAGCTTATATAGATGTATATAGCAGCCCATAAAATGCTCTTGAATTTCATCCTGCATGCGAGTTATCAGTACCCAAACACCAAAGCGTAGAATTGATATCAAATGTATTGGTACTCAAAATAAAACATAGACATTGCTCTTAAACGAGATGACATTCACAGAGGTTAGGATTTATAGCCGGAAACTTCATATATCGTATGCTGCCCTTTTATTTTTATCCATACTCCAACTGTAAAGGTAGGCATGCGTGAGGTAGGCTCATCAAGTCCATGATGAGGCTCATCCCCCGTAAGGTTGGGGTCCTCGTCAGATGAGCAAGATTCCATGCCTGCAGAACGGCTGCACAATGTAGTCCTTCACAGCCGGAGTATGAATGAAAAACAGCAGGCGAAAAAATATGCCACAAGAAGTAAGAGCCTGACAAATGTCTAGCGTTTATCACATGATAGCACGCCAGTTCAGTTGATAACATTTCGTGATGATATGATAACATTTCAACAGTTGTTGACATTTTCTTGTTCGGTTCGTTGTTGCTAGTCAGCGACCGACAGCGTGCCGGAGGTCGCTGACCTACAATACCGCGGGCATTCCAGCTCACTTTGCATGTTGCACTGTCCACAAAACTCTTCCATATGTGGCCCTACAATCACCAGCTCATCAATCAGCATAACTAGATGAAGATTCTATCAACCTCGAGGTGGAAACGCACGTACTGTAGAGCTGTCGAGCCTTTGGATGGTATGCCTAGTTGTCAGGAACCCCTCTCCTGACACAGTCGAGCTCACTGAAACTCCGGTCACATTCCGCTGTTTGCGGTTCACCGCCGTCATGCTGCCACGGACGGCTGTTCCGCGAACTGCGAGGCTCCGGAACGGTGGAAGGCTGTTAGCGGTGTGGAGGAGCATTTCGCCCCTCCTGGGAAATCTTCCGAGTGTGGACGGCAAGCGCGTACTGATTATGAGTAGCGGTAACGATATCTCGAGCAACCGTAACTGGCTGGATGCGCGGCACGCGGGAGAGTGTCATGCTCCCTAGATTCGTGGCAACAAATTGCGGACTTATTATCGTAAGGTGCACACATTTGGCTGGCCGTGGGGTGTAGTCGGCGTATGCAGACTGCGTGCAGAGGTCATGCGAGTGCGTTCTTTGGCCGATTTTTCATGAGAAAGCAAAGAACTCACGGCAGTCAAGCAGACATCCTTGTCATAGAAGGGCGATATAGCACGGACGTGATGATTCACTATGATGGAATTATTAAGCAGGCACAGTTCAGTCTACCCACCACCGGGGCCGTCAACAATAAGCTGTGATATCCACGTTAGGCACTCATAACGGAGACACATCTCGGTGCTATCCAGTGCTATTTCGGTGCTAACGGTGCTATCCTTGCCTGCGTCATCAGTGCAGCTCTGATCAGTGGGATCGTGTGAAGAGCACTGTGCTTAAACTGTCTCGACGGAAGTCTGGGCGGACGTCAGGAAAATTGAGATCGTACCTCATGTAGTGGCTTTGAGTGGCTCAATACATAAGGCGGCCACGCAAATGTGTCTTTAACACGCCATCTGGTGACCTTCTCAAGAGTCCTTTTCACGGGTTTAAGTCCATGACTCACCAAATGCGCCTTTGCTCAAGTCTGTTTTTTAATGCCACGGAAATAAAAAAATAGTACCGATGCTTTCCGGGAGGCACATGGTTTGGAGTGCTCAGGCACTGATAATTTCGCGCACAGGAACCGTTTTGGAAGAGCCCGCTTTACCACGTGACATCCTACCTTGATTGTGAAGAACGGTCCAATCGCCCCTCACGACTGCTCCTGGAAATGGACGGCTGCCG